CAAATCAATTTAGGATATCAATTATGGTGTCAGCATTAAACCTAGTACACATAAATGAACACCAAACACAATACAACTAAAATATAACATTTTAAATATATAGTTGTCAATGTTTATCTGTATTCTTGTAGTTTTGTTTGTATAACAGCAAGTAGAATAAGGTCATGTAGAATAAGGCATTAATATGTGCTTAATTAGTGCTTAATAAGCAACTAGTTAAGAGAAACTAACCTAACCTAAAATAAAGTGTTACTTTTTTTTTTTTGTAGCTCTGAATACCCAGTCAAATAAGGTGGAAATTAAAGACAAATGACATAAATATGGACAGACAAATTAGAAATATGTGGTTTAAACAAAACATGATTTTAAAAGTGACTTTAAAAGAGTGATTAGATCTCACTAGTGTATAGTTCTGCCAGTCATTTGTCAAACATGTCAACAAAGAGCAGCATGTATTTTCTGTCAAACACGTCACCTGTCATGCTACTGGTCCTCACTAGAGTTTAATTTACATTAACCTTGTCAGGTATCCTACTATGCTTTAAAATAATAGGTAAGAGAAATAATTTTTTTACAAAGTTTTTTTTCAAACCTCTGTTCCTGTTTAAATTTAATAAACACATCAACATTTCTAATAAATTACTGAAAAATGTTGTATCTTGTGTTATCTTTGTTCAAAAATATTTAATGAAAAATAAATGTATTTCTGAAATATTAAAAAGTTGTTTCTAAAAAAAATGTTGTTAGTTAAAATGTTGGCAAGAAAAATAAAATTAAAAAAGAAAAGCATCATACATCATGCACATAACAATCCCACACGTAGCATCTCAATATAACTCATCTTCATTGCAAAGAGTAATATTAACAAGACTAATAATTGACCTTTCCCATACATAGTGTGAGAGAGAAAGTGTGAGAACAGGTGTGTATGTGTGGGCAGATGCATGTGTGTGTGTGTGTGTGTCAGTGTGTGTGTGTGTGACAGGGAAAGAAAAAATAAATACATATCCGTGTGGGCACATGTTTGAACGACTGCAAAATTAAGTGTGTATGAGGAGCATCTACGTCAGAGAAAAGCAGTTTAATTTACAGCGGACAGTGAGAGAGAATACTATGGAGAAAGTGGGTGATTAAGAGAGAGGGTGGTGATATATATTACAATATTTTATACAAAGGACCACTAGAGAAAATGCTTCAATAATAATAATAATAATAATAATAATAAATCTTTCACATTTTGAGTGAAAGGAAAAAAGAAAGATATATAAAAATATATATTTAAATATACAATGGCAGATTTTCAATGTCGTTTACACTGCATATACCATCTGAAGAGGGAGGGTTTATATTCTACATATATGAAGATTGTATTGAGCTTGTATATATTTTACACTGAACTGAGAGCAGTTTAGCTGCTTTGCTAATGGATCATATCTGGATTTAGAGCGGCAGGACTGGTCAAAGGTCGGCAGTAAAGCTCTGCTCCCAGCAAAAAACATCTGAACATCAAATCATTAGCATTTAAATCGCATCAGTGTGATATATGCCACCAATGAAAAGCTACATAATTTGCATAATCAGCGTTCTATCATGGCAACCAGGGAGTTCTCTCCTTAGCAACCAAACCTATGCCATTTCCTTAAGCTGTGCTGTCAGCAAAGGTTGAAATTGTTACAGTCCTTTGACAACTAAAATGTCAAATACAATTTAAAAATGGGGGAAATAAACCAGAAGCCTGTGGTCATATGAGAAAAACCTGGACCGCATTAGACAGTAATTCGGAGGGGGCCGTTTCACTGAATCAGTCTGTCTGCTCTCTGAAAGACTGTAAAAGGCCTCGCTCCCCCCAAATCAATGAGATGGATGTCGGAGAAAACATTTAAACCTCCTGTCTATCTCCACCTCATTCAATACACTTTGTAGGGTGCCTGTCTTTGAAGTGGTCAGCGGAGAAATAGGAATCTGCGGTCCAATGCGCTATGGACAGCGTACGGCTTCCACGCCTGTTGCTCTCTTGCCAGATTAAGTTTTGATTCAAAATCACCAAAGCTTGTATCAACAATGCTGACCAGTAAACACTTCACAAGCCATTGAAGCAGAAAAAAAAAAAACAAGAATTCAAATCCCTGTGATTCAAGTTCAAGAGCTGAAGGATGCTATATTGAATAAATTTGTATACATAATACAGTATACATAAACATTCACGTAGATATACATTATTTTATTTTGTTTACCTACAATAATTATGTCACGTAATTATCAAAGAAGTTTCATTCAAAATATTCTCAACTTAAAACTCTGAGTAGCCACAGTTTGAATAGGCAGGAAATAGTTGCTGGCAGCCCATGACACAGAATGAACAGTTGCCCATGCCCAAGAGGGTCAAAGGTTAGTCTCCACAGTAGATCAGAAGTGAACAGCAAAGCTCTGGTGCTGTATGTAATTAACCTTGGGGGTTGTGTCAAGTGGGGGGTTTAGAAGATGAGTCCGGGAGGTCAAACTCATGCCAAGCGATCAAACATCAATCTAGAGAAAAAACTTCTGACTTTGCTCTAAGAGCTTGACTCTCTCTTTTTCTCTATTTCTCTAAAAGCGTAAAACCCCTTGGGTCAGTGACTGCTGACACTTAAAGCAATGTTTGAAATACAGCTTTCAGAGTATTTGCTGAAAATAATCCCCGACATTCACTTTTTCTTTCAGCTCACACAAACATGAAATTCTAACTGTGGTTTCCTAAGTACATAATTGTAACTGAGGCAGTAAAGACTGAGAATATTTCATAGCTGCTTACCATCTATATATTTAATCATAAAAATGTATGTATTTAAAATCACAGTATCTATATTTCTTTTCAACCATTCCTTCTAAATTAGCATTTGCTTGTCAAAGCCAAGCTCAATTGACCTTCCAAGAGATAGTCGATCAAATCGCTGCACTCATTTGTCTGTCAAGCTTACTGAACTGTCTTTGACATACGAACCTCCTTTTTGACTAATTCCCAGCATTATGTTGGTCTTGTTATGATACGTGTCATTAAGATACTAGGTAACCACAATGGAGTTTTGTTCGTTCCTGAAACCAGCCACTAATCTTGAAAAATGCACATATTGTATCAGACTCTATTTTTCATCTTCTAATGTTATATTTAGTGTTTCAACATAACAACTGGACACAAACGCTAATGCTTTCTGTTTTTTTTTGTACAAAGATTAACTGCATTTTAAACAATTTATTACAAAATCATCTGGTACATCAGCAAAAGTGCAAACTCATGACGGAATTTTGTTTGACAGACATAAATAGAGTAGCCATGCTTTAAAAAGAGGTAGGCCTGGTTATGTAATTGCTGTTATATATTCAATTATTACAGCTACGCTCAAACTTCACTGATTCTCATGTATATTGTGACTCGACAGGTTTAAATCGTGAATACAATTTCAAGAATTTCTGTGAATAAAGACTTAAATTTTGGTCTGTTTCTCTCTTATAGCAACTTCAGAAGTCGTGTGGACCTTTTTTTGTCCTTATACTGGAGCCTGAAAGTGTGAATAAACACACATTTTTATTGCATGCAAAAGAAAAACATGTGGACCGTGTACACTGTGTACAAGTTTGGAACAACGATGATGAAATTGTAATTTTTGGTTAAACTATCCTTTTAAAAAGTTTTAACTGGTAATCAAATTAAAAAAACTATGATGCAACACATTGAGAGAAAGTGAGCGAATAACCTTCTGCCTGAAAGAAAGCGCTTTATTGCACTTTCAAGCCAGATAATTTCTCTGTTGTCCTTTGACTTTCAGTGACAAGTGTTTGTTATTTCAGCTGTAATTTAGTACCACAGGCTTTTTAGTTCTGAACATATTTGCATTGCCACATTGGAGCCAAATGTACCTTTAGAAGTAGCATAATGCCGATGACATTGGTATTTTTTTTTTGGAGGTCTTGCTTCTGACATTGCGGTGTCCCTTTCATATGTACCGGGAACAGATCAATGCTATCGCTTTGACTTAAGCAATACTGTACGCTCTGCTTTGCTTGTGTATTCTGATATCTGTCTGTGATTGAGGGTGACCTCAGATCAAGCCCCACACTTTCCTGCTTGCCTTGAACTTGTTCACGGCCTAAAATAAGCCCAGACGGATCCCATCCTAGATCCTTTTACAGCACCTGTAAGCGTGTTCACTTAGGGGTACAACATGATACGTAAGATGTGCTTGCATTTTCGATCTGGGAAAGACTCTAAAGAGGAACATTTTGGCTGGAAATTCCCAAAGGTTTACTGTCCTTTTCAAAGGGCATGTAATACAAGTCAGATTTAGACCTCGCAGGAATGAATATTTTATGAGCGGGGTCGGTTTTTATAGTTATTGACTGCAAAAAGGGTGGTTTTAAGGTGGTTTTTCCAAGAGGGTCTCGATGTGATTCTTTTTTTGGCCGGGTCTCACTGGACAGCCATGGCTGAAGAAATCTGAATTGCCCAAATTACTCAGACTATTTGCATTGCACTTCAAAGAACAGACCCATAACTTTAGTAGAGCTGTGCTCCTAAAAGTCAGAAGTAGAGGGCATATTTGTGCAAAAAGGATGGAAACAGAAGAAGAACATCAGGAAAAGAGCTTTCTTACCTCACTGTTCAAAAAGCAGTAGAACACTGACACAAAAAAGCCCTGTAAAGAGGACAAGAGAATGAGAAACAGTTAAATAAGAAATAAAAAAATTCTAAATAACACTCAAATTTAATTTAAAGCAATTCTGTAAAGTCAACATAAAACAGGATTCACAAGCCATTTATCTCTTTATTTTAAGGTCCAATTTTCACTATTAGCATGCATATTAGCATATTGGCTGTTTATTAGTACTTATAAAGCACATATCAATGCCTTAACAGCTACCTTAATAACTATTCATAAACAGCCAATTAGGACTTAATTGAGGGGAAACTCTTAGTTAATAGTGAATATGTGTTCCCTATTCTAAAGTGCTATCGTATTTTCAAGTGAAATAGGATATTCAATGTGACAAATGGAACAAATGGAAGTGATTTCAACCCTGCTACAGTTATTAGCTGTCAATCACAAATTAATCAATTCTCAAATCATTTTAATGCTGCTTGTGTCTGGGTTACATTAACAAAACACAAGTGTGTCAAATAGCTGATGCTGAAAGCAAAAATCTAATTTCTGCATAACCTTCAAAAGGGAAATCTGTGCCAATTATATCACAGAAAAAAAAAACACTTGTATAATACATAGCCTATCAAGAAATAAATAAATAATAAAAACAATTTAAATATCATATGTACTGTATATGATTTAGTATATGATTTAGTAAGTGAAACAATCATCAACATCTCCCTTCTCACTCTAATTCATCATGATGTGAAATGCATAGATTTATCTGAGACTTATCTAACCCTCTAGACAATTTCTAATAAATGAAATTTAAGTAAACCAATAAACGATTTTGCTGTTGCTACGGTTACTTAACATCCTGATGGTCATTTTAAACTCTTTTTTCTGGAAAGGCATTTTGCTGAGGAAACTGTAAAACCTCTGATTATGCCCACAGTAAAATCATTTTTTATAATTTTTTTCCACCCATGAAAAATATAAATTTTAAAAGCTAATTAATAATCTTTTTTAGACATTAACAGTTAAATTAATAATCTTGATTTTATAAGGAAAAGTGTTCTTTGTCTAACTACAACAGTGAAATGGATATAGATAGAACCACTATAGACAATATTGCAGTTGTCA